TTTGTTCATCTCGCTCGTGTTAGGTTTCCTGGAATCTCGTGAACTGCTTATTTGTTAAAGAACTTCACTGATATCCTGTGAACAATGGCACTCGAGTATGTATTCATCTTTCCAAGGGTTCATTCTTGAATTACATATCTTCTCTCCGATTCGGTTTCCAGCTTTACACTTCTTCTTCCAAATATCTTCTATTTTCTCGTGTTTAACTGTTTCACCCTCTTTTCACCCCTTCTGTACTCCAATCTACCTGTCCCCTTTCATTGTTATTGTAATTATTGCTGTTGCGTTGGCACCATGCTTGTCCACAAGCCGGTGGTACATATATACTTTTTGTTCCACCGAATCAGCAACTAAAAGACAGGAACCAAAACTGCCTCGAGAAAGTTCAAGGTTAGGGAAGGGTATAAACTAAACTAAACTAAACTAAACTAAACTAAAGGATCATAGTGACAACAGTCGCTGTTTCACATTCAAGACTTACATTTGAATGAACTATGCAACTAGCTGGTTCAATTGGGGTTTACGTTAGACAAACTGAGCCAACATTTATTCAGAGCAATTTTATTAACTTTCGTTCTGACGATCTTCACTTAAAACAACAATTATTCTACATTCACTTTTGTTTCAAAGAAAATAGCCTCTGTTTATGTAATCAAAAAATCAGTTGGTTTTCCGTTCTATTCTAATCAGAAAATCTCTAGTTAAATCACAGTATTCAAAGTCTAGTGGTAAAGAAAGGGGAAGGCTTTATCACGCAATTAGAACAAAAATCCCTTACAGTAACCCAGAAATCAGATTATCTGTTTTTATCCTAATAAATTAAAAAAATAAATTACTTCTATGTTTATGGTGTTTTTGTTGTTGTTGAATATCTCCAAACTCTGAGTGTCACCTACGTCAGTTTTTCACCAATGTACCACACACACACATACCGACTGCACCGCATTTTGAAATACCGTAATCTACATTTTGAGTTCTTTTACGTATGATTACTATGCTGTAACTCAAGGAAAGGTCGTTATTTATTCTCAATTTACTTTGTTTGAGTCAATACTGATCTGCATTGTTGGTAATGGAACTTACGTCAACTTGATCGCCAAAGTAAAATTGTCTGAGCATAGAACACGGGAGTCTAACAGGGTGGGAAAGTGTAATGTGTTTGCTTAGATGTTTCCTGTGAATTATTCAGAATCATCTCCGAATGCCTTCACCACTTACTTCATTTGTTCAGTACAAGTCATGATTTCAATCATTTTGGAATCCACAATTATGACATTGTACAGAGATCCAAGAAAGTTCTTTCTTGATTGGAAGCTTCTCTTGCAAATCAGCAAGCTTATAATTATATTGTATTTCACACACGTCTGACGCCAGACTGTGCCAAACAAATCACGGTACAATAATCTTTATAAAAAAGAAAAGCAAGCGTAATTTCAATCCAGTGAAGATTTCCACTGTGATTTCGACAGAACAAAGTAGCATGCAGGCTCGTGTGGTTAATACAGTGATATACACATGGGTACGAAATTCCTCGAATCCTAAATGTAAATTCACCCCTCTACAGTGTAATTGATAAAACGCATTCCAGTGTTGCAAGATTTGTCAGTTGTTTAACTCACTCATATGAGCGGCTCAGATCATTCTCGAGAGTCAGATGGTAGAAATTCATTGTCATCGCTGTACGTTATCGATCCGCCGGTGATTGAAGCATATAGTGACCATACTCTCTGGTCGTATGTAGATGTGAAGTATAGAAATTTGAGGGCCGGTGAGCGGTACTGATGAGTTCAGCCAGATTCATCTGGGTATACCGTGACTGAAGAACCCGTGGAACGTAAATGGATAATGGCATAAACCATCACTTTGCACAAGAAAGTGGCAGTTCCATTCAGGTTTAAGGGAAGATTGGGTGGACCGTAGAATTCAACTGGAACTCCTGACTGTCACACGGATCCAGTCACTGAACGATTCCAAACACACATCTGCCTGATGAGATTTACTGCATGAATATATGGATCTTGTAGGATGACAACACAAGCTACATCACTCTCGTACTGTGTAAATTGCCTAAATAAATCGTCCCTCTCCCAGGACTAGGCTGATGGCCTAATTTCTATCCGATCAAAAACATCTAGAACTTTATGGGCCTAAGGATAAATGAAGAAGATATTCCAAACCTCAGCAGCCTGAGAGATTGTTTTGGAGAAAATGGGAAGATTTGTTGAGAGCAGTTAACGCACAAGTAATGATGAAGTTACTAAACAATAGGTAACTTTATCCTGAATCGCAAAGTTTCGGATGGTATAAGGTGGCATAAGATCCCGATGAATATAACTTAGCATCATCTATCATCCTTGGTCCAGGGTAGCTGGTTGCAATAAATTTATTGCTACCGCTTCAGGTGTTGCAAGTCGACATAGTTTAAGAGATTTAGATGGACCTGGTGGCAGCTCGTTTTCATTGTCCATAAGATGTGCACTGTATATAGTTCTCGAGGCCTTCGTTCAACTAGCTTGGTTTGTGTTTCTTAAATCTTTGAGAGCATGACCTAATCGTCCTGCCTAGATATCTTAATAAACGTGAAAGAGCCAAGAAATCAATTGTTTCAGAGGAAGACAGAATCCTGCCCAAGCTACTGGTCCTCTCGTTGACGGGTCACTCGTGTAACCACCTCATACATATACGGTTGCTTCGGTTGACCGTTGCCACTCTGATTCTCTTTGTTCTTTCAGATAGGGTCTTTGAAACGAGCCTCTAGGGCAAACCGTTGCCCACGGGTATCTGTTTGAATGGATGCAGTTCTTGCTCCAGGTTTTCTGCGTAGCACGTTCTATCGTAGATTTGAACACTCAATTTAAGTTGTTGGTAGAACATTCTGATTTCCTAGTCTGTATGTCGTTCACCTCACATACTTGTGTTTTTTTATTATTCTCATACAATATACATCTATAGGTTTTCTCTGGAAAACAGCATCCTTTCCCATTCTCATCGCTCTCTTCTTTTCTGTATTACACAGACGAAACGTCCGAAATTAAGTCTGTGTTCTCATCAAGTAAAGTAATTCTATCCGTGGATGAACTGGGCCAGGAACCAGACTCCCGAGCAACCTTGAAAAATTCGCGACGGAAAGACGTTAGTCGAGGAAAACAAGATACGTTAGAAGGTAAAATATTCTTTTTTATCTCAAATATCAAGTGCAATATGTTCTGTCAACCCCATCCTTTTTCTGCAATACCTCGGCAACCAAATACACGGATTGATTAAATTCTGAATAATGATGATCCAACTCATTACTGTGAAGGGAAACTGGAGGGAGTTTGTTACTATTTGTTAAAGCGATTCACGCTATAAAATATGTCCCCGAGGATGCAAAATGCTGTTAACCATTGCAGTGCACTCTGTCGCTGGCTACCTAAATTGATTGAGTCGTTCGTACATCAAATATGTTAAACAGTTAGACAGTGCGTGAACAATGATCACTAAGGTCATACATCGTAATCGAGTTCATTTGTCGAAACAGAAGAAAGGCTATCCGAGCTGTAGAAAGGAGTATTGATTTCCTACAAAGACCTGGGCACCAATATTCTCAAGAGTGCTGGAAAACTTCATAGATCATCAATGATTGTTCGTATCCGTTTGACCGATTTACATCGAAGAATAAACGTTGATTTCGACGCAAAACCTACAACCGAAGCGCGCGATAGTTCTTACTTGAATAAAGTCAGGTGATAAGCGTTCGGAAGTCACGGGTATCATTACACCTGGTTGTGAGTACGCGGCGCGCCCAATAACTGTTGCAGGTTGCCTCAAACTTACAATTCAGGAGGATGAATTCAGTAGCATGGATAATATGCCGTCATGTTGATAATAAAGTTACCTGAGAAGACATCTGGATTTTAGAATGGGATGTATGATATTCAGCGGTGAGAAAAAGTCTAGCCTCGACATTTCTAAATAATTCATATACTTTCGGTATGAACTGCAATTAAGCCTTTATTAGTTCAGTCTATGAAGGGGTTCTGTTATAATATGGAATGCCATTTTTGCGACTAGAAAATTTTGACCCTCGATTCTCGAAAGAAATCGGACAGCTGAACCTTGTGTCAAAGAACTGAACGAATTTTCCTCATAGCTCTAGTAAAACGATTGCACCATAAAATGGACATTGTAGATTGGTCAGCCCAGGGTCAAGCTTTGCACCCTACTGAAAATGTTTGTGATCTATTTCCGAGTTAGCTTGATGCGTTTGAAGAGGTATTTCACGCTGTCCGAGAATTAAAGACGCCTTCTTTATAAAAGTAACAATTTCGAAGTCTAGATATTCCGGAACCAAATTGGAAGTATGCCTGAGCGTTACGCTTCAAAGGTGGAAGTAAATGGCTGTGTTCTGTTCAGTTTCAGTTTGTACAACCATTAATCATGCACTTTCGTGCACCGGTTTGGTTGCTGTCTTTTGGCTGCCCATTTGGATGAACAGTGGATGGAAGACAGGAAAGGTTGAAATTGGGGTCAACGAGAAAATAGAGAATTACAGTGGACTGATGTTGCGAGGAAATTGAGAAAATGCATGAACGCCACTGTTTACGACACTCGGCCATATCACTCAGTGTCTCTAACCCTCGGGTACGATCATCTCGAGGTGCCCATCCAGGGAGCCTAACGGGACCTATGTGACCGAGTCTCCTGGTTAGGGTTTTCATACCCTCATGCCAAATGTTATTTTGACCACCCTTAGCTTTTTCCATCCACTATCTACCTTGGAAAACATCGCGCGCGTAACACTTACTGCATGGGGGTTGACCGCCTGCTGGGTTTGGTAACAACTTTTACCCGCGTCACTGACGCCAATAGTTGTTACAGACTGTCAGTAAATTCTCGCCATACGACTAAAGGGTTGTGCTCTTCCCTATGAGATATCCACTAAATGGAAGAAGCCAATCTCTGCAACTTTGCATAGTTTATGGATTTGCGAATGTTGTTTGGGTTAATTACTTTGACAGAAGAGTAACAAATGTATTTGAACAACAGTACGGCATGGTCACTTCTTCCTAGAGGGGTTGTTACGGCGACAGATTGTACCATCAACTCTTCGTTTGTCAGCAATAAATGTAGTATGGATGGTGATTGTAAGTTTCCAAATCTGGTATACTGTTTCACGTGGTTGTGAGGCAATTAGCTTTATGAATTGTTGTTCCAATTAAGGATGGGAGGTCATTGCTTTGCCGAGGTTGGGACAGTTGAAATCACCCATAAGCAGAACATGTGTAAATCTTTTTGCGAGAATGTGTAACATAGTGTTCAAAGGAGTCATATTGGCTG